AAACACAGCATATCAGCACAAACACCTCGGTGGTGGAAGGGTGAAGATTTAGGCTTGTTTTGCAGCAACAGGCCCTGGAGACCTTGTAGTCATTGAGTCAACCACAAGCTTCTCTGTATAATAAAATATTCTAAAGTCACATGTGAGGTCATCTGTCTGACAGCTCAAGCTTGGGTCACGCAACAGAAGAATAATCTCAAACACAGCAGCAAATCTACAACAGAATTACTGAAAAAGAAAAGAACCAAGGTGTTGCAATGGTCCAGCCAAAGTCCAGACCTCAAACTGATAGAAATGCTCTAGCTCAGGGGTGGCCAACTCCAGGCCTTGAGAGCCACTGTCCTGCAGGTTTCAGATATCACCCTGGGTGAACACACCTGAATCAAATGATTAGTTCATTACCAGGCCTCTGGAGAACTTCAAGACATGTTGAGGAGGTAATTTAGCCATTATATCAGCTGTGATGGATCAAGGACACATCTAAAACCTGCAGGACACCGGCTCTCGAGGCCCGGAGTTGGCCACCCCAGCTGTGCATAAATGCCCACAAACCTCAATGAACTGAAGCAGCCTTGTAATACAGGTGAGCCTAAATGTCTTTGTTACAATGTGAGAGACATATAGTTAATCCAGAAATTATAACTTCAAGTTACAGTTCAACAAGCTATTAAATGATTTGCTATACTTAGTTTTCTTCTGCATTTTAGCTCAGTGTAATATATCAGGTGTTGTTGTCCATCTGAGGTTGCATTTACCTAATTTTAAGACTGGGTAAGGACCAGATGACCTTTTATTAACTGAATTGCCAGAAGGTGTACTATCATTTCACCATGACTGTATGTTCTAATTATTACAACTGTTATTCATTAAAAATAACACATTTCTGCAAGACTACTCTGAGCTTTCCTGATAAATCAAAGTAATGTCAGTAAGCCTGTAAAGTTGGATCACTTTTGTAGTCCAGGTGTCATGAAAGCGAGACGGTTATTAAGAAGAAAGCTGTTACTATTAGTCAATCTCAAAAGCAACCTTCAAAGAGATAATGAATGAAAAAAGGCAAAGATATGCCTGTCTGATTCTACTTTACTTTCTGGGTGATTATTGATTATCTGTTTCTTTGCTATGTGGCTATAATAAAGGTTTGCAATTACCTTATCCTCCAAAGGAAACCATATCTGTGAAGCAGCATAAACATAACACCGCTAACCATTAATTGCATTTAGGAGTGTTTTACTTCTCACCACCCGAAAGGGTAAATTATCTCTTAGTTTTATTTTTAGTATGCACACTTTAAAGCATGTCAGCTCTTCGCCTTGCCCTTGGTATGGTTGAGGTCCTTGCTTGACCACTTGAAATGAATCCCTTTCAAGTGACATTTTGAGTAAGATCAACTTACTTCCATGGTCATAGGCAAAGCACACCATTAGCATTCAGCAGATACGCACTCTGGTTCTAACTGCAAGCCCTTCACTCTACAACTGCTACGTGACCACATAAGATGAATACAAACTGTCCTTTGCTAACATTAAAGTGAATGATTGTGACTCCCATTGGAAGTACTCCTTGGATTTGGACATTTCAATGCTGATGGCCTTTGCATACTGCACATCCACTGGTTTCTCTCGGGTACAGATCAAAATGTGTGTGATGTCCACTGGAGAGTTTAAGGAAAAAGTTCCTTGGGTAGCATGATTAAAGGATCACAGGCACAGATATGTATGTTAAAGATACATAGAGGCTACATCCCAAGAAATAAACAATAAAAGAATTTATTTATTTTTGAATGTCTAATGAATGCAGAAACAAACTTTACTCAGAGCACCAGATTTTGGGCTGTCCTGATTTTCCCCACAGACAAAATGTCCATTGACAGTGACACTGGGCCAAAATGCAGACATTTTTCTCAGTCGTGCCATGTCAAAGTGACAGAAATCGACTCAGGAATTGAGTAATGGGAAAGAAATGTCGATAGTTTCTTTCTTGATGAGGTGGCAAGTGAAAATCCTGAGTCTTCCTTTACACAGTAGGAAACGATTTAAAGTAGAATCTCTAAATTGACGTTAGACTGTAAAGTTCTCATATCGACCCATCCACTGTACTTTCCAGTCTGCACAGGTGTACAACATCTCCTCTAAGAGGACTTATTTGATATTACACACTAGACTTACACACTAGGAAACGTGTTTTCGTCAATGACCGTAGATTTTTATACAGTCATTGGTTTTCTAAACCACCCAGTGCATTTTATTTCATATGTTAAATCAAATTTAAAGACTGGAATGGAATTCAAAACAACATTTTTATCTATATGAAAAGCGGAGATTTAAATAAAATAAGATGATACGTGACAAAAGTTGCATCAGAAACTTACTTGTAATATAACTTACTTGTGATTTTCGCCGCTCTTCAAAGAGCGAATCGGACATTGAGTTATCGGATAGTGTGACTTAAACGTTATTTACTTCTGTATTATTTTTTTTATTAATTTATTTACTTTTTTTGCGTTGAATTTTTTCCGGGTTGGAACTAATTTTCTTTACACCTTTTATCCGCCGGCGAACTGAATAGGTAGGACGTTCAGAGGCGTCACTTCCGTTCCACGTGAAAGGCTCCTTATAGTCCATGTGAGGAGCACTGTATATCCGAGGCGTATTGTTTTACGTTTTAACATTGATAGTTCACATATAGTCATCTCATGGTTATCGACAGCAAGACTATGGCGTCCGTAGAGGAGGAGGCGCTGCTCGGTCAGGATTCAGAGGAGGAAAACAGTGAATTATCGGACGATGAGGTCAGTTTCCTAACATGCTAGCATCGTTAGCTAACCACATTCCTGTTAGGTATTAAGGTTTTAAACGTCACTGTGCCTGCTGTTTATAAAGGTAATCAAACAAACAGAGACCTGGTACTATTGTCAGTATCAGAATCTTTATTTTTCTAATCAAGCTTTTTAGATAGCAGGAAAATTCACGTTTACTAGGACCGTGTAGTCTTGCTGTAGCAAGTGGTGGTTTAGATAAGTCAGAGTTAATATTATTTATCTTCATTTCATTGCCCAGCTGCAAGAAGCCTTTGCAGCGGGGTTGTTGAAGCCTGGGATGAACGTCCTGGTGGATAAACCCAAAAAGTTCGCCAACAATGTGGTGAGTGGCATCTCACATCTTCTGTTAGTAGCAAGTTATGCTACACAGGGATGGTCAACGTACTATAAACAACCATACCACTGAAATAGTTTTAAAGCAGCAATGGAACAGTTCTCGAAATTCCCTGTAAAGTGAATAATATTGTTACTTGTTGTACCTTTATTGCTCCTATGTTGTCACACAGGAGGGGTTGAAACAGTGTGTTGCTGATTTTCGTAAAGATCTTCCTTGGGTGGAGAGATTGGATCTGACCAACCTACCAGCTGCAAATATCATTTCTCAAGCTGAAGAGAAAGCTTCAGCGCCAGCCGCTGGGGAACTGGATGCTGATGATGATTTCCAGAGGGAGATGTTCTTGTAAGTGACCGTTAATTCACCTCAGTTTTATTTATATAGTGCCTGCTCATAAGACAGAACCAGGGTTGGGGAGGGGCAGCTATCTGCTGCAACTGGTTGGTGGTAAGAGAAAAAGAAAAGGAATCGGAGAGAGATTGGACGATAGGCTAAAAAGCATCACATATACTTGTATTTTGTAACCACACTAATATAGTTTGGTTACGAGTCAGACAAATAAGTCTTTTTTTCTTTCTTTTTCTTTTTTCAGCTAAAGAGTTACAAACATGCATATGGTGTTGAATGTTTTAGAGAATAGCCTAAAAAACATGCTGGAAAAATACAACACAGCTACAAAGAGACCATTCCAATTACTTTGTGTTTTTTGTTTATTTACAGCTACCGTCAAGCTCAGGCTACAGTCCTCGAGGCACTGCCACTCCTAAACAGGCACAGCATAGCCACCAAGAGGCCCGAAGACTACTTTGCAGAGATGGCCAAATCTGATCAGCACATGCAGAAGGTGAGCCTGGTCTCCTATATGATGATGCTTTTTTTTTTTCTCCTTACATGTTCCATAACACCTGAAACAGCATCACTGTAATTAAGTATTAGTTCTCACCCATATAGTAAAGTAATTAACATTTCTTTGCACATACTGGTTCAGGACCTGAGTTTAGTTCTTTTGTTCTGTCGGGCCTAAATTCATATACTTTTTCATTTGTTGGTCTGTTCAGATCAGGAAAAAGCTGATCTCAAAGCAGATGATTATGGAGAGGTCAGAAAAGGCCAAGAAACTGCGCGAGCAAAGGAAGTTTGGCAAAAAGGTTGGTGACTGAGTTCAGAAATTCTTCTTAACACCTGTAAGTGTTATATGTGTATGATACTTTGACTGTACATGGCTAAAAGAATGACTCTAATTTTGAATTTTTTGCCAGGTCCAAATAGAAGTGATCCAGAAGAGACAGCAGGAGAAGAAGGCCATGATGTCCGCTGTAAAGAAATACCAGAAAGGTCGGTGTTTACAAGTGTAGCATGGACGTTATTTCCTTATTTCTTTTATTGTTTTGTCACTACACCAATTTGGACACGTCACTTATTGAGCACTGGGAACAACATCTTCTCTTTCTAGGAATGACCGACAAACTGGAATTCTTGGAAGGTGACCAGAAGATGAATAAAGAATCTTCTCAGGGCTCAAAGAAAGCAGTGAACAAAAAGGGGTAAGTTTGAACTTTTCAGCAGTGCACACAGCAGTCATTGATTTTTTTCTTTTTGGTCCCGCTTCAGATTTGTGGCATTTTTACAATGAAACTCTTACTTATTTATTTTTCCCACAGGCCTAGCGCTAAGAGAAAATTCAAGGACCAGAAGTTTGGCTTTGGAGGCAAAAAGAGTGGAAAGAAGTGGAACACCAAGGAAAGCTACAACGATGTTTCCGGTTTCCGTGCCAAAATAGCTCACGGCAAGGGAGGGAAGAAGGGGAAAGGAGGAAAACAAAATGTGAGTCTCTCACACACATGGTTATCTATTGACTGTTTTATTCAAATGAGTAAATAAAAAAACAATTTCTTTCTCTTTGACTTCCAGAAACGTCCAGGCAAGTCTGTGCGCAAGAAGATGAAGAATCGCTCTTAGAGACTGGCGGGCTGCTCAGCAGACTGGACTTTGCACTCTGCTTTTTGGCAGGATTTGCCTAAAGGGACTATGAGCTCTTCTTCTACACTTTTTGGTACAATATACCTTTCGTACATGCATCTGGATTGATATGGAGGTCCATATTAATCATATTCAAACCACAGATGGACTGAGTCCAATCACACAGCTGGGGAAGCTATTCAAAGGGCCTGTAAAGCCAAGAATGGACTGCACACAGCTCCAAAATACAGCGCTTTCCTAAGGTTGAGAAGGACAATGTTATTTGCTGTAGATACCCTGATATTTGCATCTGTGGCTGCAGTTGTCCCTACCCTAAGGTGGTTTTAGATCCACTCTCTGTGATTACACCTCCATATCTCCACCTTCTCAATGATTCACTCTTCTCCTAAGGTTTGTGTGTTCTGTTTTACTTTTCTCACTCAGCTTTTTGACTCGTTGATTCTCTCCCATGTTACATGACATTTTATAATATTGAGCAGCTGTCAGTTTTGCCCTTTTCCATTCATTAGTATGATTAGTATGTGATGGGCGTGTGTGTTTTGTACAGACCTGTGCAAATGTTCCCCCCAAGTGTTTCTCTAAGAAGGGTCAGCTTCTGTGCTGACACCCGCATGTTTGATGAACAAATACATTTCAGTAGGCATTCAGTTTCTATTCTCTCTCTTTTGTGTGTGTGGGGGGGGTTAATTTTGTGTTCTTTGGCCAAATTCATGGTGTTTGGTGACGTCTGTCATAAATCGGAAGAAATTGAATCTGGTGTCTTGGCGGGACTCCGGGACCTGGTGGAAAATAAATCAACAGAGTTAAGGTGGATGCACGATTACATCAGCCTACTGGTGTTTACTGTCTTATAAAAAAGGAAAACAATTTTCAAATATCAAAATTGCATGAATAAATGAGAAACAAATATCTGTATTGTGTTATTCTAGGCATCATTGTCAGCCCAGAATTTAATTCCTAATTAAAAGAGGAATGTTTGGACATGATAACAATGGTGTTCCCAATTGTTATTCCACCAATAATTGTCGTTTACATTGGGCTGTGACAACGGCTTCTTCCCTGAAGTATTTTTTTTGGGTGTCGCACCATTTGCTGCAGACATTAAATCAAACTAAACACATTAAATATCCCAGCTGTGTCTCAGCCATTTCTACTCGAGTTTGATATCCCACACCAGACTAAACACTGGGAAAGAATGGTTGGGGCAGATTCTTCAAAATTTACACAAGCGGGGTTTCATGACGTCTTCATAGTAGTGTTGGGGTTGTTAGTGTTAATTTTTCACACATTTAAGCTACAGTTTGTTCCAAAATCCACTAACAGAGAGTTTTACTCACCAGTGGAGTCGACATCCATCCTATCTCCTGGCTCTCAGTGAGTGGCATAGAATACTTCTTGGTAGGAACTTCGTGGGCCTTGCGGAAAGCCTTGATGAAATCCTCTGGAGGCCAAAAAAATCAAATTATAAAACCAACTTGTTTAAAAACAAATTTATATAAACGGAATAGGTGGATAGAATATTTCTCGCATTTAATTCCAATGGAAATTTTACCGTCCTCTGGAATCTCTTCTGTCGTTCTCCTACACATGGGTTTGTCTGGCAGTACATGCACTGTAACACAGCATACACACACACACACATAAGAAAAGGAGGTATACAGTACAACAATTATACAGAGCTCTACAAAAGAGGACCAAACTGCCATGAAATGCACAGCACTCGTGCTTTTCAGTGTCTGGCTCTTCCTAATAAGCATGCTGGACACTGAATCATAGTGTAACCTTTCTTGCAAGCACTGCTAAAGTGCTGAGGGCCCTGATTTTGGTCCCCTAATCGCAGTGAAATTCAAAAGGAAAAAAAACCCTGCCCAGTCACACTTTTGAGTAAGTGATAGTTCTTATTTTTATCATATTTTTGATGTGAGGGAGAAACGGAGCAAGAGGGGAGATTAGCTTACTTACATTTCCTGTGGGGGTTGATGCTGAACTCCGTGTGGAGCTTCTGGTGTCTTTGCTCTTTCCGGACCCGCTCGGCGTGAATCGCGTCCCGATGGACCAAATCCAGTTTATCTTTATCTGCCATGTTGAGAGAAAAATAAAAACACGACAGTTAGGGTTGGATCAGCAGAAAGCCTTTCACTGGCCTTAAACTAGGTATGCGCGTTACCTAGCAACAGTAAACACCACCTCATGCTGGCTGCAGTTGCGAGACTCGAACACGCGATGGCGCCATGCTCTCAGATTTGGTCATGGTGGAATGGTAACAGTAACAGTTTATATTAGACGATTTATGTAATCAAATGTATTTTATTTTGGAGGAAAAAATAACTAACTAACTACTTTTCTTTTCATTGTTATTATTTTTCTAAATCCTCAATAATTCAGTCTGTGATATCAGCAAAGAGAAGTGACACTTGCATCTGACAGGTTAAACACTATATGAAATAAAAGTTGAAAATGTTTTGAATTGGTTGATTTTAAGCTGCCAATTCAAATCAAAGAAGAAATCACTAGTGATTTATTATGACATTGATTAGTTATTAATTACACATAATTAACTTGCCAGTATTGTTGCCTGTTAATTCTCTGTCAGTCTGTTTGATGAGGTCATTTCACCTCTACTCTTACCTCCTGGATACTTAGTGGCTGCGCAAACAATGAAATTTCTATGTCTGATTATGTGTAATAGAGACTCACCATGTGTGAAGGTCAGTATAATTAATCCAATGAATACACCGGGGTTAGGCTGAAATCATCCTACTTCTGGTTTCACAATTTAAGACTGATTTGCTTACTCAAATATATATTTCTCACTTTTGTAGTACATTTTAATGTGAAATTTTTAAGATGCTTTGCTTTGGCTGGATTCTGTCAGGCTGAACTCTATGCAGTCTAAATCATTAGCGTTTGCAGTGTGCAATTGCTATTCAACATCACTTTTGAATAGATCCTCCTAATGAATACTGCAAAGAGATAAAACCTTCCATTTAAAAGAAATATAAGAACCCCAACACATTTGAGTCTTTTAGCCATGTATTGATCAGTTAGGCTTGGGGCTCAAGAGGTTAATATTTAATTAAATATTGAATATTAAATATTGAATAAAAACAAACAGTTTTTTTCACTATCAATCATTAATTATCAAAGTTACAGAAAATACCTGTGACTTGATGCCTTCGGGAAAGGTGGAGGCTGATCAAAATCCTGCACATCCTTTGGCTATGAGCCAGGATGCTTCTTATGCCCTTCTTCTGATGCAAGGGCATGGGAAGTCCAGTTTACACTGGATTTCATCCAAACCACTAAACCATGCTGAAAATGTTTGCCTGTAACAAACACACCCATCAAAACGTGGAGAAAGAGCTCTGAGTGAATAGCAAAACCCATCAGTTTAGAAATATTGTTGTATTCCACAGGGGGAAAAAAACACTCTTTTTTGAATGAAAATGGCATTCATTGAATCTCAAATACTGGAAATGGTTATTGACAAATGCTGGAAAATCAATGTAGGCGTACAGCGGCCCATTTATTAGGCCTTCAAGGCTGTGTTTGCTACAAATGGGAAATTCTTCACTGAAAACGTAGAAATAAAATCTGCTAGCTGAGTGTCTGCCACCAGCCCTGGTGCTCCAGATTTAAATAAAATTCAAGAAAACTGAAGAAGGAACGTACTACTCCCTTTACAGAATTCTGCATACTAGCTCTAGGAATGGAAATGGAAGGCAAACCTGGGCAAGGAGGAAGTGTTGACACCTGACAGGTCCTCAGCTGATAACGTCATTAAATGGCATGTACAAAACACCAGTCTCCAGCATGACTCCTGGATGCTGGACTTCTAGGCAAAACGCAAAGAAAAAACTTCTGACCACAGATGTAAACAGGATAACAGTCTATCACTCTGTTTTGCAATGCCACACTACACCCTGTGTTGCTTGACAACCGATGAGGTTTTGTGGGAATAGTTTAAAGAAAATGCCCATCAAACACCTCCAAACTTTAGGAGGTAATCTCTAGAAAATCTCACTAAAGGTCTCTAAGCCTGTAAGTGCAAACTGGACTATTTTGTGACGAGACAAACATGAAAGTGAATCACTTACATTGCATGTCCACACTGAGAAAATATAGCCACCCCTGTTTACAGTGTGATCTTAGTTTGTACATGTTCTGTTGGGGCGACAGCTGACTGTTCAGGCATTTTGCTCGGTTCACTCACCAGGACTTTCTGAGTTACGCACACAAAGACAAACATGTTGACACGTTTTTGCCGAGCACGCACAAGCCGACGACTGCACAAATATGTTTGTGAAGGTTTATTGGCCTTGAGCGTGTCACACTAACTGGAAACAAATTTATAAGAATGCAACTGGAATGACAAAGAAGAGAAATTACCCAGTGACAAGCGCAGTGTGTTTAAAAACCAAAAAAAAGTGTAGTGGCATTTTTCACATTTCCTTGTACCGCCTTTGACTGTCCCTGCACTCTGTGGTGTTACAATTCACACATGAATAACGACCCTTTCACATTTATTAAATAGTACTTATGGTTGTGTGATTCCTGTGAAGGCACTGATAAACTTTCAAGGCTGCTGCGGCCTACGTTGTCTGATGACTTCTTACCAATTGTCTCCTCACATTAGGATATCTTATTTAATTTCCTGTTTCATTTGAGTTCCCCTCTTCGCCTTCCTCTTCCTCCAGCTCTTTCTCTCTTCACACCGTCCCATCTGCTCATCTCTGAAGCGATCACTGTGCTTTTATGCTCTCCCGTTTCTGTCTGTGTTGATTGTGGGAACTTTAACTCTGTGTATGTACGTGCGCGGACGCTTCCTCTTGCACTAACAGACAGCTTAATAAAGGCTGAAATGTTCAGCTCTTGGTTCCCGTCTCATAACTCGATTCATGCTTTATTGGCACTGTGTGAACGATATAATAGAAACAGGTAATAACTCAAAATGTGGAACAGCAGGGCGGTAGATTTCAGCGTGGGTGGGTGACAAGTCCCCTGTGGTTTTTGTGTACGTGCGCGAGGAAGAGTGAGCAATATGTATAACGGAGGATGGGAGGGCTTGCGGTGTCAAGCCTCGTTCCCTGGCTCCTGTCACAGTGTCGGACCACGTTATCATCAAAGCAGCCACTGAGCTCCTCAGGCAGAGAACAGTCAAAGGCCAGTTTGTGAGTTTGTTCAAACTCTACTTGCCAAAGGAAGGTACTACAGATGGTGTGTGATTTAATCAAATATGACAACTCTTTCCCATTCTCCCCGTGTGGCATGCAGGTAGAAAGGAATCATTTTATGCCATTTATGTTAACTAATTCATGTTAGGAATGTGGATCTAATCTCTTTTGTCCCTGAGTGTCAGCGGGAAGGGATCATTTTGTTTGGCTTTAATATGGTTTAGAAGAGATATTAATGATGAAACAAAGTGATGTGAACTGTGATGAAAGTATTATCCTGCCATGCTGCTTTGTCAGCCTGCCTCGTGAACACAATTTTAAAATTGTGGCGTTTAAAACATTCTTTTGCCAGCGTCCAGATGGTTATCAGGTAAATTCTTATCTTTTTTTATGTTTGTCTCTTAACTTTTTTTTGAACATCTAATTTGGCCAAAATATAGAGATGACAACCTCATGTACACTGGCACATGGAAATGCTCCTCTTTCATTCTCAGTCAGATCCACCTCTTACTGCCGCATCTGGTCTTTAAACACAAGGTGGTTTACCAGTGGCACTTCATGAACCACTGGTTGATGTCACAGTGTCTATGTGCTGTCTGTGTAAATAAAATGGACTATTAGCAAATTTGGTGCTATTTTTATAATAAATTAAATCATTGTGTTGCTTTGGCAATGACTGTAGTTTTTAGCAGTCATCGTTTAGTCATGGGTTCAGGTTCCTGTGCTAATTCATAATTTAATTTGTTATTTTTTTCTTTCTAATGTTAGTTTTTGCAGTTAGTGGAATTGGCTAACTGCAAGAGTGCAAGAGAATGGATGGATGGATGGAATTGCTGTAGTCCTGCTGGAAAACTGTTCCACAGTTTTACTCCACAAATGGAAATTAACTATCTATATTACATTATATTGTTTGTCAATTAAGACACTTGAAGTTTAACTTTCCCCTGTGTTACTGTCCCCATCTCTGTCAAAAAGCATCCTCTGCAGATTTCCTGGTAGCATATTATATGCAGTTTTATTTTATGAGGTGCACGAACTTCAAAAAAATAGAATGTAATTGCAGACTCTAAATCAGGGGTGGGTAATTCCAGGCCTCGAGGGTTTAGATCTCACCTTGGGTCAACACACTTGAATCACATGATTAGTTCGTTACCAGGCCTCTGGAGAACTTCAGGACATGTTGAGGAGCTAATTTAGCCATTTAAATCAGCTGTGTTGGTTCAAGGACACATCTAAAACCTGCAGGGACACCGGCCCTCGAGGCCTGGAGTTGGCCACCCCTGCTCTAAATCCTGCACGATGAACCATTCTGACTGCTCTGTTTTTAGAAGTTTCCATAATGATTGTCTTGAACTTTTGAATGTGTTGCCCCAGACTTTTAAACAGTAATCTAAACAAGGTAACAGAAATGAACAGTAAGCAACTAGCAATGTTAAAGGTGTTACTCTTTCTCAACGATATTTATCATAATTTTTACTCCAGTATCTTTTATACAGTTTCCAAATTACATAAAATTTGAACAGTAAGTAAATCTATGTCTCGATGCATGATCGATCATCCAGGTAAGAAAATCACAGAAAGTTTATTCTATTCACCTGGATGCAGCAGTGGGAGAAACGTTTCATCACCTCGTCATTTGCATAATGAGAGAAACCAGCACCGCTGACTAACAATGATTTTAGGCAACGCTATGACCGAAGGAACAGGATCAGCTTTTTGGGTTCAAATTTAATGTTCACTGCTTTCCATCAAACCATGAATTCAGCCGACTCATTTCTTGTGAGACAATTTCCATTTTTTAGTTTTAAATATTAAAATTAATAATGTATCAGATGACTTTTCATCATCAGTGGAATGCTGCCTATTCTCCCTCATCTGTTTTAGAAGGAAAGCAAACAGTGACTTTACTAGCTGGTTTACAGCAGAGGCACATTTCTGTCCGCTCATCAACTATTCTGTGTGCGCAGTTAAGATAACAATACAATTTGGAGAAAATGAGAAGACAGTAGGTCTGAACAACACCACACCATCAATTTGAA